TAGGGTTTTTGTCTCTTAATTATTAGGAATCATAAGTTTTGTTATTATGTTTAAAAATATTCTGATCTACTCCAGGCCAGAGAGAAGAGATTCCTGGGAGGGCCGAAACTTGTGTACACATTTTGCAGGGGGACAGCCTGTCAGTGGTCTGGTCTCCGGTGAGAGGGGAGGGTGTTAAAGTCTTCTGATGTTTCTGGAGGCCAAAATGAATGCATTTGGAGTAAATTCTGAGTGTGAGGATGAAGTGCTCACCCTGCTGCTGCTGCTATAAATTGATTACGATGAGGCCATCTTTTCATTATGTCTTCCTGACTGTTTATTACTAGTCTATAGAAATGCTGACTGACTAAACTTCCTATTTAGTTTTAGTAGCTTTTCTGGTGATTCATTCTCTCTACTTTGTTTTTTTTCTTTTAAAAGATATGCAATCATATTGTCTACAAATAATATAATTTTGTCTCCTCCTTCCTAAATAGTTATACTTTTTTTTGTTTGTTTCCTGCCTCATTGCATTAACTAGAACAGAACGATGTTCTGTAATACTCATGATAGTGAGTGTTCTTATGTTCCTATATTTGAGATTATTTAAAAAGTTTGAGATCAGGGAAATGTGAAATGGCTTCAGTTTATGAATAATAGGGCTAAAGTTTCTTTACTGAAAGATGAAATCCAAAGGTAAAGTAAGAGCCAAAGAAGAAAGGATATTCAAGGTATGGTAATCAAGAGAATTCATGATCACGAGGATGGACTAGAACTTGGTATAGATGTGTTGCTGAAAACTAACGTGCATTGAGTACATGCAGGGGAGAGCCGTGTCTTTTCTTCTTTGGGTAAAAATTATCATCACTAGATCCATCTCATGGGAATGTCCCAGAAAGCATTAGTCTGAACGATAAGCACAATATCTATTGTATAAGATACTGATTGTGCAGGTTGTGAAGACCTAGCAAGATACACACAGGAATCTCTTTCCCTGGTTCTAGAGTAGTGGGAAGTCTGGAGGCATCTTGCCCTTGCAATTCTGCTGGTTTTGGTGAAGGTTGTCCTTATTTTATCTGGGATTTCCTGTGTAGAAAATCCTTGCCCTGTTTCTATTATCTGTCTTGTAAGGAAACTGCAGCTGCTTACAGATTTTCATACTGAGTGGGGTTAGGTTGTATTAGTGTACAGAGACAAAATCTTAATGTAAGATCCCTCAAATTGCCCATAAAGAAGAGCGTTTGTGATTTTCACCTCTTATTCTGTAGAGATATATGTAATTATAAATGTATAACTACATATCCAAAGTAATTAATAGTACAGAAAAAGTGTGTGCATGTAAAATATAGGAATGTATAGTTATAAATATGTAACCACATATCGTAAATAATGTCTAGTACAGAATAAAGTGTGTGCATATGAAATATAGTTTTATAGTGTTTTATTTTTATTTATTTATTTATTTATAAAAATTTATTTATTTATTTTGAGAGAGAGAGAGTGAGCATGAGTGGGAAAGGGGCAGAGAGAGAGGGAGAGAGAGAGTCCCAAGCAGGCTCCATGCTGTCAGTGCAGAGCCTGACATGGGGCTTGATCTCACAAACCTTGAGATCATGATCTGAGACAAAATCAGGAGTTGGATGCTTAACCAGCTGAGCCACCCAGCCACCCTTATAGTGTTTTAAATAAGAAAAGAGTTTCTGGGAATGTCAGCTGGTGCAGCCACTCTGGAAAACAGTATGGAGGTTCCTCAAAAAACTAAAAATACAACTACCCTACGACCCAGCAATTGCACTACCAGGTATTTATCCAAGGGATACAGGTGTGCTGTTTCAAAGGGACACATGCACCCCAGTGTTTATAGCAGCACTATCAACAATAGCCAAAGTATGGAAAGAGCCCAAATGTTCATCGATGGGTGAATGGATAAAGAAGGTGTGGTGTATATATACAATGGAGTATTACTCAGCAATCAAAAAGAATGAAATCTTGTCATTTGCAACTACGTGGATGGAACTAGAGGGTGTTATGCTAAGTGAAATTAGTCAGAGAAAGATAAATACCATATGACTTCACATATGAGGACTTTAAGAGACAAAAGAGATGAACATAAGGGAAGGGAAACAAAAATAGTATAAAAACAAGGAGGGGGACAAAGCATAAGAGACTCATGAATATGGAGAACAAACAGAGTGTTACTGGAGGGGTTGTGGGAGGGAGGATGGGCCAAATGGGTAAGGGGCATTAAGGAATCTCCTCCTGAAATCATTGTTGCACTGTATGCTAACTAATTTGGATGTAAATTAAAAAAAAATTTAAATTAAAAATGTCAAAAAAAAACATTAAAAAAGAGAAAAGAGTTTCTTGGGTGTGTGTAAATTTGTGAATGGTGCTGTTTCACTGTACCTTCTGAAAGATAATAGAATAAGAAATTGAAGAATATTTTGACATTTTCAGCTGATGACAGGAACTTTTTATTTCTTTTAAAGAACATTTCGTATATTTCTATATGTGATCACTTTGAAAAATTTAGTTTGTTAAAGTTTTAAAGCTACAAAACAGAATAAACGTGGCTTTTGGAGTTAGGAGTAAGATTAATTTATCGTGATTATTTTTAAAGTCAATTTTAGAAAGATAATTATAATGCCATATTGAGAGCTTTATTTTTAATCTAAGTGCCAGCCATATCTTTGACACCAGATGGGAATATGGAGATGGGCACTCAGCCCGGTAATCTATGCTCATAAATACATACAAAAAGTTTACACTTGCTGTTTCTTTCTTGCCTGTGGCTTGAGACCCTGGGGGATTTTATATTCCAGTGATTTCAGAAGAGAGACCAATCGGGGATTCTGACCTTTCCTATTTTCCTGGCATCCCTCCTGTGTACCTGATAAGGTGCCTGTAGGTCTAAACTGTTTTTGATAAATGTCTGGTCATAGTTTTGTCTAAGAGTGAGAGTCTTTGAGCAGCAAAGAATTCTTGGAAAGGAAGCTTGTATTTTTAATACTACCTACGAGATCCAAGTGGCTGTTGCTGAAGAAATTACATGGGTAGAGAACTGAGAAGCTGACGGTGGCCAGAGAAGTTCTCTGTACCTTCCTATTAGAGCCACATACAGATGGAAGTTTATCCCCAAAGGATTATGTAATGCAAACAGTTTTAGACGTGAAAGAATACAGGCAGGCATGTACTTTGGAAATATTGCTTAAGAGGGAATTCTGTGATGAAGAGAACATCTAGTAAAAAATAGGATAACAGTAGATGTGCCCAGATGATATACCCACTTTACCAGAGAGAAGCCCTCATCCCCAGCCTTCATGGTGACTTTATGTTATGGGGATTAGGACATCTACTTTCTTCAATGTTAAAAATTGATCATTGTTACGATATTATTATCTGATACACAGTCCATATTCAGATTTTGCCAGATGTTTCAACTGTTTTTAAAAATAACTGAGGTATGACTGGCATAAAATAAGCTGCATATATTTAATATACATATAATTTGATCAGTTCTGTATATATTTGTGAAACCATCACCACTATCAAGATAATGAACACAGCCAACACTGTCCAAGGTTTCTTTATGCCCTTTGGTAATACCTTCCTTCTGTCTTTCTCTAGTCCCTTCCTCCATCCCTAGGCAACCATTAATCTGCTTTCTGTCACTATAGACTTAGTTTGCATTTTGTAAAATTTTACATAAATGGAAATGTAGAGCATGTACTCCTTTTTTGTTTTCTGGCTTTTTTCCCCACTCAGCATAATCATTTTGAAATCCATCTATGTTGTTGCATCTATCAATGGTTCATTCATTTTTATCACTTGATATTGTATTGTATGTATATACCAAAGCTTGTTTATCTGCTCACTTATTGTTGGACATTTGAGTTGCTTTCAGTTTTGACTGTGAACATTCATGTACAAGTCTTTGTATGGACATATGCTTTCATGTCTCTTGGGTAAATAACCTAGGAGTAGAATTGCTGGATAATATGGTAGGTGTGTGTTAACTTAAAAAAACAAACAAACAAACAAACAAAAAAAAAAACACACACACACCCAAAACTGCTAAACCACTTTCCAAAGTGGTTGTGTTATTTTACATTTCCATCAGTGATGTATGAGAGTTCTAGTTGCTCCATATCCTTGCCAGTCTTTTTAATTTTAATCATTCTAGTAGATGTGAAGTGGTTTCTTACTGTGGTTTTAGTTTGCATTTTACTAATGACTAATGACGCTGAATATCTTTTTTATGTACTTTTTGGAAGACGGCCTTCTTTTAAAAATATTGAATAAGAATGGCTGTCAAATCTTGGTTTTCCAGTAAAGTCTGAGTTTTGTCTTTCCCTGTATGATGTAAGCAAACGAAAAAGAGAGGCAAGAGGTATAGGAGTGATGAGATACTTTCTTACTGAAAGGAGAGAGGCTCATAAGTACAGCCTAGAAATGAGAGGTATTGAGAGGTTGCACAAAGTAACCAATAAATCAAGTGAAACAAGGAGAGCAGAAGAGAAGGGTTAGGGCCTGTCACCACTAAAGACAGTTTGTATTATCAATCTTTAATTTTCTTGTATTCCAGATAAAAAAAATCTGAATGAGACTTCTCTTAGAAAAGTGCATTTGAAAGCATGGACTGTAGACCCTTCTTCTGCTTTCTTCTGACTCACTCATTTCCTTTTAACTTCTGACACCTATTTTGAGTGTGTTTTTTGTTTTTATTTTTTAAGGTCTGCAGGGATCTCATAACCATGTATGATGACCTGTTTTCAGCCCTTAGAGTTTTCTGTAGGTTCTTGCTTTCTTCACCTCTGTCTTCTTGAGACTCATGGTTTTTTTTTTTTTAATTAAAAAAAATTTTAATGTTTATTTTTGAGAGAGAGAGAGAGAGAGAGAGAGACAGAGCACAAGCAGGGGAGGGGCAGACAGAGAGGGGGACACAGAATCTGAAGCAGGCTCCGGGCTCTGAGCTGCCAGCACAGAGCCTGACGTGGGGTCTGAACTCACGAACTGTGAGATCATGACCTGAGCTGAAGTTGGATGCTCAACCGACTGAGCCACCCAGGTCAAGACTCATCTTCTTGACCTTGGTGACAACACTTGCATTTTTTGCTCCATGCTGGTTTTTTTGTTTGCACCAGCAGCTTCCATGAAGTCAGCCATCCAACCTGAGCGTAGGGCTTTCCTTCCCATGTTGAGATCATGTCTTTCCAGGCTGACTTAATATTTTCTTTCTGGATGTTACCTCAATAAATAACCTGTCTGAAACCATATTTGCCTTTTGTGTCCTTAGATTAATTTCCTCCCCAGATTTGTACCTTCCTCTCATGGTGCTGTCATTCTCCCAGTCTCTCACTCTTGAAACTACTTTATCATCTTTGCTTCTTCCCTCCTCATTAAGTCTGTGAGACTTTATATAGTACCTGTCATCCCTGTTTCCATCTTCATAGTCTTATGGCCACCATGCTAATTCAGCCTTTCATCACTTCCTGCTGGGATTGTGAAGGTGGCTTCTGAACTGATCACTTAGTCTCTAGTCCCTCTTCTGTCCACCCTACTCACTGATGTCTCTGATAGATGAATCTTCTCAACTCACTGGGTTGTACCTTGTTTCTTTTTTAAAAAGTCTGTGATTTATACCAACCATGATTTATTTCTTTGAACTTTGTTTGTTTGTTGTTTTGGTTCCCCTAATGGTATCCCTGACTACTTTATCTTACTCAACCTTATTTTCTGTGGTTCCTGTACACAAAACTCTGAGATACAGCAAAAATGGTCTATTATTCCCTGAATACCCAATGGATACATATACCCACTGCTGCTACGTTGTCCACTCTATTCCATTCTCGGAGAGATTTCTCATTCTTCTTTCCATACCTGTTGTCTTGTCCTAATTTCAAGGCTCCCCTCAATTTCCAGCTCTTCCATGAATTCTTGCTTGGTCGTGTCAACTTTTTTTTTTTTTTTTTTAATTTTTTTTTTCAACGTTTATTTATTTTGGGGACAGAGAGAGACAGAGCATGAACGGGCTAGGGGCAGAGAGAGAGGGAGACACAGAATCGGAAACAGGCTCCAGGCTCTGAGCCATCAGCCCAGAGCCCGACGCGGGGCTCGAACTCACGGACCGTGAGATCGTGACCTGGTTGAAGTCGGACGCTTAACCGACTGCGCCACCCAGGCGCCCCAGGTCGTGTCAACTTTAAGTAATCATTCCTTCCTTTGAACTTATCGTCTGTGACAGGCAATTGAACATTTTGTGTTATTGTTCATTTTCAAGGTACTTCTTCTCTCCAACCAGAGTTCAGCTTCCTTGAGTTTCATACCTCTGATGAGTTCCTGTGGTGTGCTTGAACTGTCCCAGATGCTTGCATCTTAATAATAACAATGCCTATCAGTATTTCTGTGAAGAATGATGCCTAAAACATCAAGTTGTATGATTGCATTTTTGATCTCTTATGTGTGTTGGAAACCAAAGGGCTCTGCTCATTCTGGCTTTTGAGTGCATGCAGCATGTCAGATGCTTTCATTGATTCTCTGTCACTGAATCCTCATGATTTTTTGAGGCAGTTGTCATCCCATTTTACAGTTGGGGAAACTGAAGCTCAGACTATTGTGTGCCCAGGGTTACACAACTGCTAAGTGGCAGAGCTGGGATTAAAATATTTCCCATGTCTGCCTGCTTCCAAAGCCCTCTTCTTCTCTGTAGCACACTGCCTTTTGTGGGGCTGGTTTGGCAAGGCATTCCTATGGGGGTCATCTCTGAGGTATCTAACACTTTAGATGATCTGTAATAAACATTTCAAGTACATGGGAATGGAATCAAGTTGAGGAGATAAAGTAATTTATTTATACCACTCACTTGCATTTACTCTCTTTGTTTCTTTTATCAACTTTCATGGCTTCTGAGGTATAGAGTCTGTCCAGAAGCCCTTTGAATAAAGACCAAGGGAAACACAAATTAAGTATGTAGAATTCTGCAGGGTAGCCTAGGCAAGTGGTTTTCATCTGTTTGACAGGCAACTCTATTTCTGATTGTAAGGCAGGAATTTTGGGAAAGTAGGCTGCTCTCAAGGCAAGTAGGCAACATTTTCAGATTTAACTCAGTGTGACCTTCAGAAGGTAGTTCATTTATTTGGTTAGTGGTGTTATGGATTATAGGATTTTAGTCATGCCTCAGTTTTCAAATGCAAGTACCAAAGAACACTTCCTAGAGCTCACTTGAAAAAAAGTTCCATCTATAGCTTCCCTCCCAAAAGCATCATGCAGAATAATATTGTACATAGTATTTAGTGAGTATCAAAGAGTGGGGAGATATAAATGAACAATTTCAGCTGCCTGGGGGTGGAAACAGTGATTCATAGACTTAAGATTTAGAACTCAAATATTCTTGGTTTGTACTCAATGAAGAGCAGCATCAATAAGTTTTATGAACAGAAAACAGTTTACTGATAGTATGTGAATACTTTAGAAACGAAAGGAAATCATCAACCTTATTTTATTTTTTGTAATGTCATCAAAATATATTTGTTTCCTCTATTATACTAATTATTGAGTTAAATGGCATATTTAGAAAATATACAACATGTGGAGTTTATAGAGTTCTCATGTACAAAATGGACATTTTCTACTTTGGGGAGCTTTATGGATCATATTGAAAGCCATAGTAACTCCGTTCTTAACAGGTAACACCATTAGCTACCTCTGGCTCAGCTCCTCCAACCTTGGGAAACAGAAGCTGCTTTGTGGGTTCCCCCTCCCCCCCCCCCACTCATGCAGTTATCACTAATCATCATTTCAGAGACAGTTGAGGTCTCAGGACGAAAACACATTTCCTCAAGCATTAGATTAAATTCCCCACTGGCAGTATTGAATCTGAGTGGAAAAACATTTTTACTTTCTTGAAATTGGGTAAAAGTTATGGCTATGAATGTTTAGGCTAGCATTATGCCTATCTTGACTCTTCAGTTCTTGTATGCCTATTTTCAGATATACTATATTACCTCAGTGTTTTATCCAGAGTGGGTACCCCATAAATATTTCTTAAATTAATCATTGAGTATTTATTTGTCTTTTGTGACTAGCTTATTTCACCTAGAAAAATGTTCTCAAGATTCATCCATGTTGTAGAATGCAATAAGATTTCCTTCCCTTTTTTAAAAAAAAATTATTTTTATTAAAATTTTTTTAAATGTTTATTTATTTTTGAGAGAGAGGGGCAGACCATGAATGGGGGTAAGGGCAGAGAGAGAGGGAGACACAGAATCCGAAGCAGGCCCCAGGCTCCATGCTGTCAGCACAGAGCCTGATGTGGGGCTTGAACTCACGAACCGCGAGATCATGGCCTGAGCTGAAGTCAGACACTCAACCGACTGAGCCACCCAGGCGCCCCAATGTTTATTTATTTATGAGAGAGAGAGACAGAGTGCAAGCATGGGAGCGACAGAGAGAGAGGGAGACACAGAATCCGAAACAGGCTCCAGGCTCTGAGCCATCAGCACAGAGCCTGACGCAGGTCTGGAACCCACCGACTGTGAGATCATGACCTAAGTTGGCCGAAGTTGGATGCCCAACTGACTGAGCCACCCAGATGTCCCAGATTTCCTACCCTTTTAAGGCTGAGTAATATTCTGTTGTGTGTTATGTACCACATTTTGTTTATCCAGTTATCTGTCAGTGGATGTTTGGGTTGCCTCCATCTCTTGGCTATCATGAATACTGCTGCTATGAACACAGGTGTGTAAAGACCTCTTTGTGATCTTGCTTTCAGTTCTTTGGGATACATACCTAGAAGTGAGATGGCTGGATCATATGATAGTTCTATTTTTAACTTTTTGAGGAAGTACCATGCTATTTTCCTTAGTGGTTGCCCTATTTTACACTCAGCAACAGTGCATAAGCGTTCCTTTTTCTCTACATACTTGCCAAAACTTATTATTTTCTGTTTTTTAAATAGTAGCCATCCTAATCGGTGTGAAGTGACATCTTCTGATTTTGATTTGAATTTCTGTAATGATTAAGGAAGTTGAGTATATTTTCATGTACTTGTTGGCCATTTGTGTATCATCTTCATGGAGATGTCTATTCAAGTCTTTTGCCCATTTTTTTTAGCCAGGTTTTTTGTTTCTGTTGCTGTTGTTGAGGTTTGGCAGTTCTTCATATTCTAGATATTAACCCCTTATCAGATGTTAGGATTTGCAAATAATTTTCTTGCATTTCTAAAAATATTTTCATAACTTTTATATTGATATAATTTCAGACTTACAGAAAAGTTGCAAAACTAGTACGAGAAACTCCCATATACCCTTTGTTCAGAGTTATTGTGGTTTTTTTTTTTTTTTTTTTCAGGAACACCTGGATTTCTTGACACTTTGTTGAGCCCTCTAAACAGAATGAATTAGTTGCAGCTGTGGGAGATGTAAAAGTATAAACATGGTCCCTGTTTGAATATGTAAAACAAATAAAGATGTTTATAAAGCAACCAGTACAGATGAGAATCATACAAATAAGAACAAAAGTGAGAGGGGGCCAAAAGTAAGAATAATTTGAGTTATTAGAATTGGAGACCTGTCCCAATGATTCTCAACATGGGATGATTTTTCTCTCCTAGAGGACTTTTTGTAATGTTTGGAGACAAACTGATTGTCACAACTGCAGCTGGCATGGGAGAAGTTGTAATACTGGTGTCTAGTGTGTAGAAACCAAAGCTACTGCTAAACATCCTACAGTGCACAGGACAGCCCCATACAGCAAAGAATTATCCAGTCCAAATGTCTGTAGTGCCAAGGCAGAGAAACCATGCCCTATCCTGGGGAAGCAGACTTTGCAGAAAACCTATCTTGAGGACTTTAAGGGCTTTGGGCCTGGAAATTCTCTCAAACACATCCAAAACACTTGAATAACACAGTGAAGGCTCTGCCTGGTAAGATAATAAGGTATGAAAAAATATTTTCTTCTCTTTTTTGGTGCATAACCCATAATAAGAGGGCTTAGTTGCTCTCTGCTTACTATGAATTTTCTGCAGTAAACTGGCGAAAAATGCTTTCCCTGGTTTTATTTTGTATTGCAGTTTCTTATAGCTAACGTATTCTTGTTACTGCATTCTTTTTTTTTTTTTGCCACTTTCTGCTGTAAAACAAAACAAAACAAAAAAAAACCCCAAACAAACAAACAAAAAAAAACCCAAAACCATGTAAACTTTGAAAAAAGCAAACAGTATTATACGAAAGATCCTGAAGCTTAGAGGAAGCCAGCAGAGGTGTTGGGAGAATGTGCTTTAGAACGCTTCCTTTCAATCCTCTGTTCCCTGCAGAGAAGCGAGGTGTCAGTTCTGTTTTATCACTAAGTCCAGTAAGCCAGGAGGAGAATGAAAGTAGCATGGGCTTTGATATCCTATAGACCTGGATTTGAATCCAGGCCCATTCTATACTAGCTGTCTGACCTTGGGCAAGTATATAATTTACTTGTGTACTCTGAACTCAGTACAGAGTACTTCTCTGCCAGGGGGTAATATCTGCTTCACTGAGTGGTGAAGGGCAGTAGAGTACAGTGGGTAAGGCTGTGGACTCTCACACCTAATTGCCTGGCTTCAGATCTTCACTAAGCTACTTCTAGTTCTGTGCCCTTTGGTAAGTTTCTCAACCTGTTCTAGACCTCCATTTCTTCATTTGAAAAATGAGAATAATTGTATCAGTATTTACCTCATAGGGCTGTTTGGACATTAAATGAATTAATAAATGTAAAACACTTAAAAAGTGCTGCTGGACAAATAGTAGGCACAGGAAATGTCAGCTATTTTGGAGATTAATTTGAGATAAAGGATGTAAAGAACACTGTAGTGTCTAGAAAAAGAAGGTGCTTGATAACTGGTTTTTCAAAATTTAAATTTTAGTAGCTGACAGTTTATTAAAATATAATGCCATTATAATAAAATCATTAGCCCCTGAAGTTAAATTAGTAGGGATTTGGTCTTAAGTCTTCAGGATACAAAAAGGAAACTGCTCATTCTTTTGCTTCTTACTTGTTCCTGGCCAAGACTCCTTTGGATCTATGTTCAAAATGTGCTTAAAGAATTGCAGGCCTAGCCAGTCTTCTGTGGAATTGTAAGAGGCAACTAGAACAGCCGCCTGAGTGCATGGAGTGGTGAGGGATGTTTGGGTTGGAAATAGTTCTTTCTCTAGTACGGGTTTCATGAAAGCCCCCTGGGCGGAGAGGAAGTAGAGAAATAGCAGGAAAAGTTTGCTTGTTTTTGAACTCCCTGCTTATCCTTGGGGTGTGGGTGTGTGTCAGGTGAAGAGGTCCCATCCTTCTTGATGGTATAGGGGATTTAGACTCACTCAAAGGTAATTTACAGTGGAATCAAATATCCAGTTATACCTGTCCCTGTTAGATATTGGGTTGTAGATATATTTATAGCGCACACATGGGCCAGCCTTTTCTCAGAATATGAGAATATATTATCTCATGGTAAGATAAAGTGTATGTAAAGGGGTTAGCCTGGCATTGTGCTTTATTAAGAGTTAGCTGTCATCATCATCATCATCATCATCATCATCATCATCCCTGTCCTTACTCTTAAACTTTATGTTTTAGTTTAGTTAAGACGCTAATGAAGTCTTTAATAGTTATTCAGCAATTCTACTTCCCCCTTTTAATTTTTTACTTCTTAGGGCATACACACATTCAAAGGAGTGCATGTCATAATTTTACAGCTTGATGAATTTTCACAAACTAAACACACTCATGCCTTCAACACTCAAGGAACATACTCACTAGTGTCCTAGAAGTCCCACTCATGGTCCCTTCTTGCCATTATCCTTCAGTTTTCAGGAAAAAAATTGTTTTTCTCTTTAGTGACATTCAAAGCTACTCATGCATGGCTTTATGTAAACTCTTAATAGCTATGGCTGACAGTTATAGCTGGCCTTATTACACCCTTTTATTTTCTTACGCTTTAAAAAGCACTTCTCCTGGAAAGGGTTTTAGTCCTGTAGACTGTTACCTTTGGACATGAATAGGCTGAGTGATCTCGTAGATCATCCTCTGCAAATAGGTGATGTGTTTTTTGCTTTTATTTGTCCATATTATAGAAGTCCATTAAAACCCAAAAGTTGTCCATTGTACAAAAAGAAAAGGAAATTGACTCAGCTGCACAGACCTCTTAGATGTCTTCTCTAAAAGCATTCCACATTGAAAAGAGCTCAAGGCACATGAAAGAAATCCTATGGTGGAGGAAGACTACACAATGCTGGGTGCACTTTGGGGGCTCTCATCTTCTGCCATCGAACAAGGTGATAAGGCTGAAGGACTGGCTACTTTTGGAAGTAATGGACCTCAGTTAGTTTCCTGTGCTTTTGTCTGGGCATAGTTAGAAAACCATGGAGAATTTTTCAGAAGGCAGCTTCTCAGAGGAAGAATAAAACTGTGGGGGTTGAGTTTGAGGCTCTTCACAGTACTGAAACATTCACTCTGGAATCACCAGGGCATTAGCCTTGCTTTGCATGACTTGTTTAACTTTGTGGGCCCAGCTAATAGCTCTGCTAAAATATTGTGTATGCATTTCAGAATATTATTAGTCATTTTGGCCATTGCTTTATTTCTTAATATTTATTTGTTAATTTAAAAACATTGAGATCTAATTCACATACCCTAAAATCTACCCCTTTAAAGCATCCAGGTCAGTGGATTTTAGTATGGATATTTATCATCACTATCTCATTCCAGAACATTTTCTTCTCCCCCAAGAAGAAACCCCTGCCCATTAGCAGTCATTCTCTCCATCCTATTTACTTAGTTTTGCCAAATAAGTGTCATTGTTATCTT